TTGAGATCTAATGCTTTCCTTGAGATATCCCAATCCAAACCTTACTTAAATGAAAGATTAGTTGGATTGACTCATCCGATGTTGCAGGTGGTAAAAAAGAAGATTTCTTCTGAGGTTCAAGTGAAACAAGAAGACTATTCCAATTAAGCAGATTCTTTTTGAGAAGAGGTTGTTTTTATTTTTGGATTTTTTTTTTGGTGGACCTTGAATTGTCCCCTTACCCCAATCATCTTTTTTCTTTCTCCTTTTTAACTTAACAATTCATTGGTTTTTGAATAATCAACAGTGATAAACTGTTGATAATGATCCTAATAGATTTTTTTTTTAAACACTGGCTTATCCTGCACCCTTCCGGCCACTTTATTAATAGAAAATCATATTTAAGGACAATTGGGATGAATATTTCTCTATACTGTCAGAGGATTTATAGATCATTAGAGAGACAATAATATAAAAAACTATCTATTTATAACACTCGATCTAAGTCTAACCTAACCAGGATAAGAAAAATGAATAACCGTCTAGTATAAATACTCTTTTTTAATAACAAAGAGAGGATTGATCAGATACACTCAAAGGTACATTGCTGGTTGCCCATTGCTATTGGTTTGATACTATCTAGAATTTAATTCACTGATTGGCTTGTTGCCATCTGTTAGAGGGGCCTAACCTGCCAAGACTTGCTCAAAATACTCAACACCATTCGATACTAAGAGTTACTTGTACTAGTCGAGGACCAGTCAGTGTGAAAAAAATAGAAGTAAAGGAAAAGGGGGAAAATGAAAGGGAAGGGTTAAAAATATTTACAAAAAAATGAAATAGGGAAGGAATGAAGGGATACCTAACAACTACCTATCTACTCAACTTTGCCTCTAAAAATATTCAATCCATAGCCTTGACACTTTTGAAGTTAATAAGAGAAAAGAGATCACAGTCCATGTGATGTTTATCCATCCACATAACTAGCCAATGACTTATAATGGACCTAAGGTTTTTATGAGACTTAGGAAATACATTCACATCCCATATCATATGTATCCTTGTTTACATTCTACTAACCATGGAGCAATCAATCTCAATCTTCAGCCAATCAATCCATCCAAAATCTAATATAACAGAAAATTCAAGGTCAAGTTGGGATAGGCAAAATTCCCCAAAATACCAAGAAAAACTGTTGCATACTGGGAAAGAAGCCGTTTCTGCCTATGGTATTGATGTCTTTTTCCCAGGTTGGCATAAAGTTATTGGTCTACACTTCTTCCTAGACTTTAGAACCTCTATAGGGAAGGAAAAAAAAGTGTTTTTTTGTTTGGTTTCTTCTTCCTAGAAAAGTTTTCTTGCTATTAACTTCTTAGATAGAGGGTTTTTGAAGAGGAAAGGTAAACAAGAAGGATAAAGTATGACTACTGCTAACTGAAGCAAGTGTTTTTAGGAAAAGTTGTGAAGTTTTGTTACTCCCAAAACATAGAGTTTTAAGAAAATACTTCTTTGAAAGTAGTGGTCAAGGATCTATGGGAAAGAGTGTCAGATGAATGATTATGATAGATAGAGGTTATTACCAATCTATTAGGGAAGTGAAATATTGTTCCCAAAATCTGATTTAGAGTACTTTTGTATAAAGATGAGTTAGTTTTTTTGTGAAAGTCTGTAAAATATTGTAAATTTATTTTCAATTTTTCAATAAAGACATATCATTGTGACATGATTGTGGGTTAAAAAAAAAAAAAAAAAGTATCAAATTTTATAAAAGATTTTTATTTAATTATATAATTAAAAGTATATTTAATTTTTAACTGAATAATTATCTAAACAGACTTTTAGATAAAACAATATTATAAAAGTTAATCTTTAAAAAATTTTTTTTAAAAAGTTGTAAAATTGTATATATTTTTAAAAAAATATAAAAATAAAATATTTTAATAAATAATTTATAAAATATTATTTATATTTTATTATTAATATTTTATGATTAATAGTTAAATTTTTTTAAATTTATTTTAATAAGCTAGATTTTTTATAATTTAAAATGATAATATATAATTTAAGAAACTCTTAAAATATTAAATTAGTTAGAATAATTTAATAAAATTCTTTAGTAATTAATTTGATATAAAATATATTTATATATAATATTTTATAACAAATTTGAATATTTTTATTATTTAAAAAAATAATATAATATTTTAAATTAAATTATGATTTTTTTTTTTTAATTTTTAACTTATTTTATTTTTTAATAATTGGTTTAATATTATTTACTAATTTAATAAATAATATATAAATTAATTTATAATAATACAAAAAAAAAAATAAAAATAAAAGATAAAATAAATAAAATAAATTACAATAAATTATATTATTTCAAAGTTTTATATAATAATACAGTATTTTAGATATAGTATATTTTTGTAAAGAATGCTGTACTTCTAAATTAAACTTTGAAATTTTGTATCACCTATCTACAAGTTATTAAAATTCACATGTACTAATTAATATCATCATCTTTCATTTTGAAAATTTGGAAATGCAAGCAATTACGTTTCAGGAGCCGTTCAGGGTGTTGGTGAAGACAAAGCCAATACCAAAAATTTTAGAAACCACTGATGCTATTGTTAAAATTAGCTTGAGTGGATTGTGTGGCTCCGATTTACATAGTACGTAATTATTTTGAACAAAATTCTATAAAGTCTTTGCATCAATTTTTCACATTCTATAAACTTAGTTTACAGAAATAGTGAGACCGGGCCAGACAAAGATACAATTATGGGGCATGAATTTGTTGGCGTTATTCACCAAATTGGAAGTGATGTTAATAAAAATATTTTGAATGATCAGGATAAATTCAAAATTGGTGATCGCGTTCTTTCACCTTTTACTACTTGTTGTGGCGAGGAAAATAAACCTTTCTTTTTTTTTTTTAATTCAAAATTAATGAAATCTGTAATTTTATTATTAACATCATCCTTCATTTATTCGTCTAATAGTGTTTCTATTGCATGAGGGGTATAACTTGTAGATGTGAAAGAGGTCAGGTATATGGTTTAATCTTCAATGGAAATGGGATTGATGGCGCGCAAGCAGAATATATCAGGGTCCCTCTGGCTTCAACAACGTTGGTCAGAATTCCTATAGAAATTAACGATAATCTGGGTTTATTACTCGGTGATATATTATCCACTGGGTATTTTTGCGCGGAAAATGGATTAAATGGGCTAATTGGTCAATACAGGGGTGATTTCTTTAAAGGAAATAATAAGCTCGATGGTATAAAGAGGGAAATAAGATATGATACTAATTCCTTTGACGATAGTGATGTAATAGTTGTGGTTGGATGTGGTTCAGTTGGATTGATGACCGTCGTATCAGCGATCTACCTAGGAGCAAAAAAGGTTTATGCTGTTGACAGCATCGACGAAAGGTTAATACTAGCACGGGAGTTTGGAGCCACGCCATTACATTTGAACTCGGATGATCCTGTGCAGACTATCAGAGAGGCTACCAATGGAAGAGGTGCAGATGTGGTTATGGAGGTATAAAATATTGGTTGATTATTTGTTTTTTTTTTTTTTCTTTTCTATATTATATTTCGATTTGTTTGTTAACTTCGATAAATTTTTAAATTAGGTTGTAGGAAGTTTAGCAGCTCTAGAATTGTCTTATAAATTACTTAGACCTGCCGGTGTGTTGTCGAGCGTTGGTGTACACAGCTCGGAGACATTTCCCTTTAGTCCTACGAAGTAAGTGACTTTTTAATCATTGTCTCTTTTCATTATTTTGGCACTATCTCACTATTCGCTTTAAAAAGTGGATACGATAAAAACCTCACCTACATTTCGGGTCGTTGTCCTGTAAGACAAATCTTGACGAGATCCATTCCACTAGTATTATCAAAAAGATTTGATTTAGAAAAAATAATTACACATGAAATGAAATTAAGTGGAGGAGAAAGAGCTTATGAAATTTTTAACAATAAGTTAGACGGATGCATTAAAGTAGTCTTCAAGAATTAAAATACTAATAAATGCGTTGCGCAATTGCTTAATAATTAGTAATATGTCAGAATGACCGTTATTATTATATTTAAGTTAGGGGCATAATTTTACAGCCTATAACCTGTCAGTTCAATAAAGAATCTCCGTTATACTATATCTTTTTTGGAATGAGCGAAATGTTTTGGATAGTATTGGGAGCTCTCGCAGCTGCATTAATGGTGATCTTGGTAATGACTATTGAATCGTGCTATAGCACTGACGAAGAATGTCAAATCGAATCCGAAGATCGAAGAAATATACCGGGTTAAGAGTTTAAATGGAAACGAGACAAAAATGTAATCGATCGTGTAAACTCATATCCATTGTTTCTGCGACCATCCTTCTCTTTATAGGATTTCTCATAAAGTTCTCATTTACTTTAGGAGAACGATTGTTTTTAGCGTTGCCCATGACCGACAAATACCCGATAATCACAACAAATAAAAAAATGTTAATTGACGTTTTCTTATACTGTATGCAGTAGATCATCTAATACAATTTCATTTTTTTTTTTTTTTTTTGTTATTATTATTATTTAATTTAGAAAGTTAGCTATGCATGCTTTATTAAACCGAAGTAAACTAAATATCATAATACACCTATATAATGCTAAAGCTGAATCTACAATTAACTCATCATCTTTCAATCTGATTTCAGATATAACTTTGAAAGTAATTTGTTGCTCTGTTTACTATATAGATAAAATATCCTTTTAATTATAAACTTTATTATCTACAGATTATTACTTATTAAGGTTCTGATTAGGCTTTTGATTGGTTGACACAAAACACATTAGTAACTGAATGTAAACAAGTTCTTATTGGTCACCTCACATGTTTCAATAATATTATTGATGAATGAAAGAGTTGATTGGTGCTCCATGTCTATTCCATTCTTTCAATTGGATTAATCTATAAATCAAGTTCTATAAGGTCAATAAAATACAAGCAACAAATTCCCAGGTGGTGAAAAAGTTGTTATTTGTTCAAGTTGAGGTTTTTCTCTTCTATTATCCTGATTAGCCAAAGTTCAAAACCAAGGTCTTCTTTTTATCCTGATCAGGCAATAAGATCAAATAGTCTCTAGTTCATACTGAGCTCCAATCCTTTGGTTACAGTTAAAGATGGGTCCCTAAAGGAGGAGGCAATAACAAAAATCAAATATTTTCATTAGGAAACATTAAAATTTTTAAATTAATAACTATAAAAAAACTACTTATAATTGTTCTCTATTATTCAAATTATTGATTTATAATATTTCCTGACTTTTGTTTCTATTAAAATGAAGAGCTATAAATTTTGTTCCTTCAAAAGAGACATAAGTGATCTGCAAAATTTTATATACTAGATACTTTAAGAACCCATCATTAATTACAATTGAGAATGTATTTCCCCAGAAGTTGTTAAAAGATACTACAATCAATAAGAATCTCTATTGTTTTTGAGACTCTTTCACCATTACAAGTCAAAAAGATTATTGAGGAATTTAGTCTTTTGGGTAATGGAAGATATATATCAGTAAAATTCTTTTAATTAGGTGTAACTACTAAAAGGTATTATACCGAAACAATATGATCCAGTTTCTACTAGGTCACATAAAAATCTGGGATCCATCATAAGTCATCTCTCTATCACAGATAGATAAAAAATTATTTCCTAAAGAAAGTTGAAATCAAGTGTATTTTAAAAGTAAAAGCTTACACTAGACAATAAGTCTTCTCAGACAGTACACAAGAAGAAAATCAAGATCAAGAATAAATAAGTTCCTCAGATGGTTAGGAAAAGAAAAGATATTTCAATTGAGTATTTCTTATTGAAAAGAGATCTTAAGAAGCAGGTCTTTGAAGGAAGCTAAAAATATTTTTTTCAATTTTTATTTTTTCATTTTCTTATTATTTGCTTAGACATTTTTAAATATTCATCTCTCCTTTTTTTTCAACCCATCCTTTTGTAGTTTCCTGTATTCTAGGGCTTGATATGATATATAACAATGATAACCTGCTAA